AGCGCTGGGCGGGGGGGCGGGGGGGGGGGGGGGGGGGGGGGGGGGGGACTGTACTGCTTTTCACAGGGTCCCTGCAGCTGACAGTAACGAAGTGACGTGAGGCGCAATCACAGGGTGTTCTGAAGCAACGTTTTTAAACTGTCTCTCCTTTCTTCCTGAAATCTTTGCCTGTGCAAGTAAGGCTTTGGGGGAACCCCCCTCTGGGACTGTGACAATCTCTACAGTTAGCAGGAACTTTAATTAATTTGTGAATTAGGGTTTGTTAATTGACTTTTCTTTACTTTATCGGAACAGCTCTTTATAACCCAAAGCTGAGTTCGCAAAGGGAAGCATCAAGAAAGAGTTTCCGTGAAATTATATGCAGAGACTTAACGTCCCTTCCTGTTAAACATGTTGCCTATATTGTGTTATCTAGCCTGTGGAGAAGTTCTATCAAAGCATACGCCATGCCGTAGTACTCCCCTGTTAATCATTTTCCACTGGGTTAGCTCATACATGCTCTCAGTACCTCTCTGCCTGAGCACTAACGAAAACAACACGTTCTCTCTTAACATGAATACTGAAACCTGAATGCTGTCCAGTCTGGCAAAGGTGGTTTGAATGATGTTTTCTAAAGCGTTAAGTTTTGCAGTGAAATTTCTAATATTGGCCTGTAAGATTGACCTGTCCTCAAAATTTCTATAAACTCAGTCTTCTGTTGCCTTTCTAAGGACTCGAGGGTATCTCAATGTATTTTCTTCCTTAGAGTGCAGGAACTGTACTGTCTCCCCCTATTTTTATACACTGGAATTAAAAACAGGCTGAAAACTAGATTACAATAAGTTTTTTCTCAGACTAAGTAGTACACAACTCTAGAAATAGTTCTCTCGATTTTTGTGGGAGTCCTTGTGGTGCTCGACAGCATGCACTGTGAGAAAACGTGTCAGAATCTCATCCCAAAAAAACTGAGGAAAAAATCCCTCATGCTTTCCCATCTGTGCAAATAAGAACAAGAGCTGGGTTTTTTTCCCTTACATCCTAGAAACAGATTGTGTAGGCCTACTTGCAGCTAAACATTACCATTTATAGTGAATATGGTGAGCTGCTCTGGTATATTTTCTGATGCTGGTTACAGAAATAAATATCAGGAGTTAAAATATTTCCCAATATTTTCTTTTTCCTAGACAAAACATCAGCGTGCTGAGCTCAGTTATCTAGTTGACAGACCCCGACGAGTAAACAGGTATGAGCTCCTTAGCCTTGTTTTCCTAATGCATGCTTTAGCAAGCCTGAATGAGGTGCAGAAATGTGTTTACTGCAGATGTAAAATAGTAGTAAAGCAATGGGAGATTGAATGTATGTAGACGTATTAAATAAAACATCGTCGACTAAATGAGTTTGAATTACGGCTTTTCTGAACTGGTTTCAAAACCAACTGCAAAGAGAACAAAATCTCATTTTGTATTAGCCTAAAACGTGCTTTAAATACTTATGAATGCTTCTGTAGGGTCTTCCAGAAAACATTGGTCTCTCTGAGTTAAAATTTAGCTATCCGGCTTAAGTAAATACTACCGAATTATTTATACCAATTACATGAAAACCAGGCGGAGTAATAATGCTTACTGTCCGTTTCAGCTAGACTACCAAGGTCTGAAAATGCCAGTTTTGTTTATGGTGGACAGAGCACCTCTGCAGAAGCAGTGCAGCAGGCAGGAGTGGGTGAATGCAGCACCGAGTTTGGCCATGTGATGGCAGAAGAATGTTTTATGAGTTCCTCTTTCATGTTTATTCTAATGTAAAGATGTTTCTGTGTCTAGTTCTGCATTCCAGGAAGCAGACATAGTAAGCTCTAAGGACAGTGGTCATGGAGACAGTGAGCAAGGAGACAGTGATCATGATGCCACTAATCGAGGTCAATCCTCTGGTAAGTCTGATAAGAGAATGGAAATAGTAGATCTTTAAGTAGGGAGACTAGAAAGAACAGTTACTTACAGGAATATAATACAAGAGTGGCATAAATAATGTGAGCATATGATATGGGAGGCTGGGTTCAAGTCAGCTTGCTACTACAGTTACCTGGGCAAGGAGACAATTTTGAACCCCTTTCATTCACGGGTCCTGCACATTAAAACAAAGTTGTCGGTACATTTTATAGTGCGTTTTTTTCAACGGCAGATTTGCAGAATTTCAAAGCATTAGGCAATTTTGTTTAGCAGGCACTTCAGCCGGCATGGCAGTGTGAAGTGCAGGGGGAGTTCCCAAGGGAAAGAATGAACCCAGTGATTGAATGACAGCCAGACTGTGAGGATTTTTGCTGGGGATCAGTGGAGACACATCGGGTGCTCTGAATGTGTAATACCTTCGCATTTTTTGAGGATTGTTTTTTAATTCAAATTGAGGCACCATATAGTATAAGTGATCTCCATGTTAATAAGGCTAAGGTATTCTGAGGTACATTTCTTTCAGTCCTGACAAAGGAGAGAAATGCTTTAAAAGACTATGATTTGAATCACCTAGAAAATATATACGTTGCAGTGTTACTCCCATGTGTACAGCTTGCTGTCTTTGCTCTCATACTGTCAGTTTTCTTCTGAAAGGGACATTTGTTTAGAGCCTATGCATTAGAATTCGTTCTCGCCCTCGCACTGCATTTCAGCCACAAATGCTTGTGCTTTCTTCCCTACCACAGTCTCCAAAGGTCTGGTATGTCTTGATTCAATACAGTGATTTCTTTCCCCTTGTTTCCTCTGTGCTCTATCATGTATAAAGATTTGCTACAAGTGTGTCATACAAAATACTGCCAGAGTCTCTCCAGTTGTCCGTTTTTTTCCTCTGACCCCCCGTCTTAGAAGATACCAGGGCAAGGGACTCAGTACTGTCACAGCAGGGCTGCCTCACCCGCGTGCTCTGTTAACGTCCTCTATTTTCTTGCCGCTGTAGTCACTGTGCCCTTAACGATGGGAAACCCAGGCACCAGGGAAAGAGGAGGCTGCTACAGGGCCCCTTTATATTGCTGCAAGTCATTAATATGCAGACCTAATGAGACTCGAGAAGAGCCAAGAGTCTCCGGAGCTCCCCGCTTCTTGCAGGGCTTCATGCTAAGTGAACAGAGTGTCTATTTTGTGTCTGGGAACCTGACAACAAACCAGGTCTTGCCAGAAGTTTACATCTGAACACAGAGCCTCTTTCATTTTTGGCCTATATATGGCGTATGATTTATTGTTATTTTAAAAAGCCATGTATTTAGCCTCCCCCCACCCTTTCTTTCACACTGTTTCTGATGCAGCAATCAGTGCTACTGAGTTATAAAAAGCTCCCTCTCCTCCTGCCCTCCCTGCATTCCATTTTTTTTCTTTTACGCATTTTACTGCAGCAGTCATCTCAATGAACATTTCAATCAGCTTAGTCCCTCAACATAATGAACCATAATAACCAAACAGGAGAGAAAAGAATAAACATCTGCAGAAGGGGCTGGATTTGACTGATGGTGGGAATATAATCATATAGTTGCACATCAACTGAAAGCTATTTTCTTTTAGATGCACTCAGTGCTGTTATTGTTGTGCCTCTGCTCTTTATTTTCTCTCCATTTTAAAAGTAGTCTATCTCAGATATGAACACTGGAACTACTGTCAAACTTGGCATTAGACCTTAGCTGGGTAAATTCTTCATTTTCATAATTTCTATTTTATCAAACTAGTTTCAAAATAATTTCAAATCATTTAAGAATCTGATGCGATCTATGAACTTCTGTGTCTTCAATGGTGATTACATATGAAGTAATGAAAGCTGACAATTAGGTTTGGTTTACTCACAATTAACAGTTTGAACTGAAACCTCAAATACACAGAACTTCCAATTTAATGTATTGGTGCTGTGATTTGAGAATAATTTGCATGCACAATTTTTTAAATGCTAGTTCCAAATAGATATTTAAATACAAATCTCTGCAGAAACTGCTTTAATGTTTTACATACATGTAATATAGTTTTCCTGTAAGTTTTGGGCTGAATCCTGCTGTCGTGATGCAAAGAACGTGCCCCTTGATCTCAGCGATGACAAGATATTTTGACATAAAAACTTCACTCTTGCTATTAGCTTTTGGTGATGAATTTTATGGAGAAAAAAAAAAAGAGCATAAATCTTGTTTGATCTTGAATGGCTAGAGGAAATATCTGAGGGAATGCCTTCTCAGTTTTTCAGTCATTCTGGTGCTCTATAATCAATTCTTTCTAAATTATTGAAGGAAAACACACTGGTTGATAACATGGCAGAAGTTTGGGCTGTTTTTTTCAAGATGTTACCTGGTACCATGCAGCATCATACTTGTTTTCAAAAGCATTGTATTTGCATCCAAAGATACTTAGTAGATAATTCAGATGGACAAATAAAACTCACTCTCTACCAGTTTTAGTCAGCAGCATGTTCTGCTTGCAAAACATCTTTTTACTGTTCTGTACATGACTTCTGTTATTGTCACCAGTGAACAGTCCTGTGGCGCACCAGTAGCTATTCTATAGTAGTCCATTGCTAGGCAAGCTGACTGTCAAAAGTCATAGTCAATTATTAATTGGGAAGGAAAACATGCAGGATGAAAATCTGTCACTGTGTCATAGATTTATCCTGCACAATTATTTAGTGAAAATTCTGAACTAAGCTGTTCTATGTATCATAAAATGTTTTATTATGTTTTGAAATAAGATTCTAGTTCATCTTTTCACAAAATATATTTTCTTAATAATGATTTAGTCATGGTTTCAAATGTGCTGGAATGTAAGTAAGAGATTCATATTGTTCCCGTTAAAGTACCACCTGAATGCCTCGTAATTATCCAGATTCTTATGTACCTTAACATCCACGAAGTACAAAAGTACTGTCATCTGCATTTAGTGGGGAATGGCAAGTAGTGGGATACTCAGGAGCCTAATTTTCATGGATCGAGTAGTCATTTCGTTGACTGGGATAGGGATCTGAGCTTTTTGGAAAATGACTTTCCAAAGGTGAAGAAGCGCAAGAAGTTTTTGGCAAACAGAGGAGGGGTTTCTCAAACCTCAAGTGCGCGTTCTAATTACTTGTGGTCGTCTTTGTCTGAAAATTGTTGAGACAAAAGCTGCTATTTGTTGTAGAACAAATGCAACTAATACAACACTACTACTTATTATTAACACACTGTATTTCAATCATGTTCTGTAGGAGTAATTTCTAAGCGTGAGGTTAGTTTATTTCCCATGGTTGATTAAATTCTTGGCCTCCCTTGTGAAATTGCCGACTTGGGTGCCAATTAATACTCTGCGTGTGTGTATGTTTAAATTGTATGATTAGACACCTGTCCTGTAAGATTTGGACTCATGCCATCCACTTATTTCGTATGGTTGCCCACCAGCCACTCAGCTTTCTCAAGCCAAACATGGAGTGTTCTTCATAATATTACCTTTGTTTCACCTTTTTCACTGAATTGGCATGATCTCTCAGAAGCACTTCAGGAAGGGATATCCAAGATGTGAAGCTAAGTAAATGTACTGTCATGTACATACTATAGGCATCAGCTTTTTTGCTAATCTCCTCTGTGCAGTGCTGGACAGTACGCATCGGTGACCAGCTGAGATCTAAAATTAGGCTTCCACTAGTGGACTTTATGGAGGGAATTGATAGGGGTCTAATGCAAAGGCACAGGGTGAAACATTGCCTCACACCTTTTCAGTGCAGCTTAGGTAAACCTCAAGAGGGTTGCTGTGCATTATTGCCAAAGAGGTATCATATTTCAGTGTTCATAAGGAGAAGAATTTGAGAAGTCAGAAGAAGAATTTTAGTGATAAAGGGGCAGAGAAAACCAGTATTCCTTCTGAGCCTATGCAGAATGACAGCTAAATCCTGTTTTGAAGATCACTTGGCCTAAGAGTCTATCTTGGATGAAGTGAGAGTGAACATGAAAATGGCTTAGAAAAGTGCTTTGACTCAAGCTGAGGGCGGTTTTTTCTTTTTCTTTTTTTCCTCCTGTCCTTGGGCTGCATGCTTAATAATGTTCACATCTCAATGGTCCAGATAGGGCTTTGAAGTTGAGATTTGGAAGAGCTGAATATTGAAGATGCTTGAGTTCATGTTCTCATGCAGATGAAGTTAGTTTTATCCAAGGCAGCACACCAATTACTTAGCAAGAAAGAACGATAATAATTCTGTTTCATAAAGTCCAATTCTTCAGTAGATAAAGTCTTCTACAAAGGAGGTTAACATCATTATCCTTATTTACCGACACAAAACGTGAATCATAGGGAAATGAGTAACTTGCTCAAGGTTAATCTAACCAAATGGATAATTGTTCTGGTAATGGAGCTCTGAAAAGGAGGCCTGGTTCCCTACGTCATTCCTATCTCGCATCTAACTAGCTTTTTTTAAGAAAAACTACCACAGAAGAAACGGAAAATGCCATTTAATTCCAAGTAAAAGCCAAAGTTATGAAAAAATGACACATGTTGGGGGAAAAAAATCCTCTCGGTAACAATACTACAAAAATACTTTGTCAACATTTAATTTGTATTTTTGCTTTTTATTACATCATTTACTCAGTAATACATATGAACGTGTTCACTCATTGTTCTAAAGGCTTGGTGTATGGCTCTTCTCCCTTAATTAAATTAAGAAAGAATACATTATTTAAAAATGGTTTTAGGCCTAATTTTTGCTTTGATCTAAACTGTCTTTCAAACCAATTAGAATTCATGCACATAGAAATTTTGTTTTTCTCCTTTTGAAATATGAAAAGGAAGCAAATTGGGAATATGCTTCAGAAATGCAACCCTAGTATCTGATTCAAAGCACCTGAGTTCAGGAAATTCAGATGCAGATATCAAGCTTAATATTAAACTCCTTTCCTAGTTTTTGGGTTCCTTTGAGGGAGGGGCGGGGACTTGTTTTCCTTCAAAATCTGCAAAGTTAAGGTTGTGTGAGAGCTCATATTGCCCACTGGCCTACCTAATAAGACGACCTGAACAAATAGGAATGAACTAGTGGCCTCTGCCATGAGCTTTTACATGGATGCTGCGTTTGGAATAGTGCAACGCTTATAATTTTTCAGCACTTTAGCGCACTATACTGTCTATTTGTATCCACAAAGGACATTTGAAATTCATAATTCGGAGTCACCTTTAAAATCTCAGTTTATCTGCATGCAAGGTCTAATAGGATAACTAAATGAAAAATATAAAGCATTTTTCTTTAACGCGGATTTGCAATTATGATGGATAGTTTAGTTCTGAAGGATCATATATATAACCAGATTTATGAGGGAGATGAGATGGAAGTGTTATACTGCTGAACATTTCTTTTTGCTATAAATCAACAACATGATTCTTGGTGTATGAAGGAGTTCTGTGCTGAATGTCTTACTTCGTTTACCATGATATATCCTTCCTTCTTGGAAAATAGCAAATAGCCTCCCCCACCCCCTGTTTTTAATGGTTTTTCAATTAGAAACAGAATTCTATACCATGACCCACAGGAAAAAGGTGGAGGAAGGATAGCCAGCAGTCATATCAGTGTAAAGATACATAGGTGCCCAGGGATTTCAATATCAGACTGCTAATTTGAATTTATTTTCAGTCAAAATACTAACAGCAAGGGCTTGGTTCTGCACCCATTAAACTCTTAGGGAATGTTGTGACTGATTCAAGTAGGAACAATACCCAACCCAGGCCTCTCTGAACATTTTGTTCCCATCCTAAACAAGCATTTACATTCTAGCTGTGTGTCCCAGCAGTGTATATTAAAATTTAGATGTATATAAAATATTTTTTTTTCTTTTACAAGTTCTCATCTTCAAGGGGGGAAAAGTTTGTCACACTAGCTTACATTTTATATCCCCTACATTCATTACTTTGTCTATTCAAAATCCTGATTTATAGGGGCTATAACATCTCTTTTATAATAAGCTGTTATATAAAACTATTCAGTGCACTGCAGTAGACAAGCAGTATTCAAAAGAGAACTAAAAAATTAATATTTGGATAGACATTTTGCAGTTTAGCAGCTGATATGAAAACAACACAGTAAAATGGAGAGTA